CAGTTCAAGTGCCACAGTCTTCATCACACAATGCCAGAACGTTGACAACCTTTACAGGTCGACGCGATAAGGCAACATCCATCCACCTTCAAACTTGAACAAAAGGATCTCTTCCCCTACTATTATAAACACCGTTCATACTTCTGAATCATAACACGCCCTCTCCACATAATAATAATAAAAGAACACTGAAACGGTAGTTGGGCCAATACCCGTAGAGAACGACACAAAGCAAAATTCTTTTACAGGTTTTTTGGGAATTCACAAGCAGGTCGCACTTCAAACAACCTAAATGGCAAATAAAAAAGTGAATAGATAAATAACAAAAAAAATACATTTTTAGAAAGCTTTTTGAATTGCTTCAAAACTGTAGTGAAGCCTGACTTATGCAGTTGCCCAGAGACTTTATCCGCACGGTCTCCCTTACTACTCTCTTTACATCGTTGCTCCCTTCGTGTATTATGTTTTGACGTTTCTTCTCTACGTTTTGATGTTTCTTCTCTACCCCAGTCTGAGGTTAATTCAACATGGTTAATATTCACCAGCTCGCCTGCACCCTCACGATTTTTTCTGGGATGGCAAGTACACGACGCATTCGAAATAAAAATTAAAGTTACAAGGATTTCCAGCTATATTTAATCAAAGATTTATAAATCTCCAGGCTATATGCAAATGTTCTTTCTTCACTTCGAATTAAAAAAAAACACCAATGATTAACGCAAGTAACGGAAATTTTACTGGAATGTAGATATAAACATTCACAAATTTTTCGTCTTTTTTAATACATCAGAAGCGTGCCTACACCATCTCGTTTTAAAAGTGTGTATTTCTTCTAAGCACGCGACTACGATGTTCGTATTTTTTCACGCGATGATTGCGGCAGCTTAGCCCCGTTGAGCGCGCTTTTTAGCGCGCAGCCATGCATTGCGATGAAGCGATACCCACAAAAGCGAGCTTGGCGGGCGTTGCTTCTTCGCAATGCACCGATTCTCGGTAGAAGAGTACCAACGAGGCTAACCCACTGCGATCAAAACTTTAAAAAATACGAATATTCCACTTCATCTCGAAGCGAATATCGAATAACGTGTTATTCGAAACTACTATTCGAATATTAGCACAGCTAAAAACTTGCGTTTCACAGGGGATAAGTGTCAGATTATTTTCAAGTGCCATTTTTTGACCGCATTGACATCAGCATGCAACATAAGGAAATATGTAACTTGCTTAATTTAGCGATAGATCTTAATATTGTCGCGGAAGCAAAAGGCACGACGAACGTTAGCCGAAAATAGAGGTTTAATCGGAAAACTTGTGCTAGAGAAAGATAGAATGGGCGTCGAAACAGCAGCATCAAACCTCGCGGCGTCGGCGGGACAGCTGACTGGAGTGAGACTGCGAGAGAGTGTGCCTCGTCGTCGAGAGAGTGAATCGGCAAGGCCACGTTCGGCTCCCCATCTACTAGGCTCAGTATCTTGAATATTCAACCTAGATTGTTCGAGAGTAAGCTTGGACGAAACTGACTCGGCAAGGTCATGTTGGCTTCCTTATTTTTTACACTCGGGGTAAGAGTAAACTCGAATCTTCTGGAAGCACTAAGAAGCGTTCCTTCTCAGTCATGCTCGCCACAATGTCATAAAAAAACTGCAGCACCTCGGAGTGCTGTGCATTATGCACCAAATCACTAACAAAAATATTGGATAGCAGGAGTCTAAGATTAGATCCCCAAGGCATTACAGCGTTAAAAGAAAACATACGAGGAAAAAAAAAACATCCCTGATATAATAATTTTACGTTCTGCCAATGTAACTGGAGATCCCACCAGAAAATGACCCGATCAAACCCAAGGTAGAAGGTTTTTCAATTAAGTTTATGATCAACGAGATAAAAAGCTTTCGTGAAGTCAAAATAAATAGCATCAACCAGCCCTCCAGAGGTAGATAGTGTATTTTTATTATATGAAACCCGATTTGTTTCCACTGACCTTCCCTGATTTAAAGCATGCTGCTTGGGGTCAAGGCTCGACTTGAAATGAAGATAATTGTGTTTACATGTCACTCCCTCCAATACCTTGACAAAAAAGTAGAGCAGAGAGAATGGTCTGTAGCCATTAACAAAATCGGTTCGACCCAATTGAAGTACTGACACAACTACCGCATTATTCTACTTACACAACTACCCAAACATCAACCCTTAGAGATAAGTTAAAATATATCACAGGGGCAGGGATATTCCTGCATCCCATTAAAATAAAAGCTGGAATTCCATCGCGACTGGATGTCTGCTTCGAAGCAAGTTCATGAAATTAGTAAATTAGAAAAAGCCCGCACTTAAGCGTAATCTGAAGGACAGCTTGACTGCGGGTGACCAGCAAAATAAACTTTAATTGCTGTATGTGGCCATTCGACTGCTGGCTTCTGAAGCATTAAATCAGTGTTCAAACCTTTGTAAGTTTGAGATAGGCTTAAAAAAACTGGCTTACTTTAAAATTGTAAAAATGTCCTCTATCTACTTTTCAGTATATGCAGCAGTGAAGGTTCTTTTTGTGACTCTGGGCAATGTGTGCTTGCGAACTCACCCGAGGCCATGAGCACGTAGCGTATGGGAATGTAGCACAGGATGAACGTGACAAGTAGGAGCATGGTGATGGCAAACCAGGACAGCTGGGGGATGCTGAAGTTACACGTGCTGAAACACACTTGTTGCGAGATTTCATTATCCTGCTACAAGAATTTCCATCACCATTCCTTTACCCATCTCTCATAACTCTGGAAAGCTAGGAAGAGTGCATGCTTTAAAGCGTGTACAGTGCAAGGACGTGTAATGTTTTTCATAAAGAATTCATTATTTTGCGATTAGTGGCGATAAAAAATGTATTGATTAATAATAATGATTTTTTACCTAACGATAACAGATTTATAAATTAATGATAATGATTCATTTAAAAAAATAACGATTTATTGATTTGGCTAAGTTTAGCAGGTGATTAGAGGGACAAGCCCACTACACTCAGCGGCTGCGTGACAAATAATTTTGGTGGTGTCCTTTCATAGCAGGAAACATAATCCTCTTAGCATAATCCTTCATAAAACATCACTTTTTTTTAGACTTGCATTCAGCAAGACATATGCTTTGTGCGGTAATGCTGTTCTTGTTTCTTTTTATGATATATAATAGTTTTATTTATTAGTCTTCGAAAGATATAGCTTTGCATTTCGTGCAACTTGGTCATAAATGTTTAATCCAATATAATACAAATAAATCAAGCTTAAAATAGCATCACCGCACAAGGCTTGTCTTGGTGAAGGCAAATATATAAAAAGTTATTATAAAGTGTGAAGAATTTTACCCTAACGGCCTGTAACGAGGGCCTAACTAAAATTACAAATTTATTGAAAAGTTAGGATATGGTACAGCTCTATGAAATCTGTTTGCATGTTTGAAAGTGCGACTGAGCACCAAATTTCAGCACTATAGATGAAACAACAAAAAACGTTAATGCCCCTCATCGCCCCCTTAAGCGTGCACCTAATTGGTGTCTGTCAAACCTTACAGGGGCTCTTTGGGATGTCAGTTAAATTCGTCTTCACAAGAAGTCAAAGGTGACAGCACGTACAGGAGTCGGAGGTTCGGATGCCATAGGGGATAGGATGCAGGGTCCTTCGTTTTTGGGTAAAACACGATATTTCCCGATATTTACACCCCGGACATGTTTCTTAAAAATCGGGTTAAGCCCGATGTTTCCCTGAATTCAAAAATTGAATACCGGCATTTTCCAAACGACTCTACTCCAAATTTTTTTTCTGGGAACCGAAGAGTTGGTAGGGACAAACGCGATAGCGCTAGACCTCGTTAACAATCCTAGATTTTTCTGAATCCAGTAAAAGAGAAATAAATCGAGCCCTTAACTGTTGCCTTTAAGTCCATTGTGAAGTATCAATACCCTTCTTTTTCCGTTTCAACCAGCGCGAAAATAAAAAGAAAAAAGCAGGGTGAGAAACTATATATTTTAAATGTATACGTAGGCTGTAATGCTGAGAGAACGTTCTCTCAATTCAGATGCTATGTCTGATAACTGGACAGGTCTCGGATGGAGACAGATGTTGCGCATGCCGAATATTATGTAAGCAACAAGGATTCATGAAAATTTTAAAACTCCATGTGAGCTCTTACCCTGTTTCAATGATATCTTGTGTACAGTACTTTGATAAAAATAATATCTCTATTTAAACCGATCAATAGTTAAGTAAACTTGGATATTTCCAAGTATCACCTAAAAATACGAATTGTATATTAATTCATTTAAAAAAAACGATTTCTCCCCGATTACCATCTCGAATCAAAGGGCCTAGTTTTTACCCCCTGATTTTCGGAAAATATCAAACCCAAAAACGAACAACCCCGGAGGGAAGTATTACACGGAATGGTGGTCTTAGATCAGATTTGGTATATACCCTCAGGCTGGAGAGAGACGAACCTCAGCACAATGCTCATCTGCCAAACACCGATGCAAATTGTACGACGTTCGTTTCACCCGATACTAAAGCACATTATACTATTACGCAGCTATTACGGTTTATGGCATTTCAGGTCAACTAATTGCGGGATATTTCACTCAAGTCCTGTCGCTGAGGAATGAAATATGTTTGGGACTCTGAAACGTTCTTAGAAAACATTTCTAGGCAAGACCGATTTCTCGTGCTGTGTTCTTGGCTTTTGTCACTTCGATTCATTAGAGACTCGCTCTCGCATCAATGCTCGTTTTTTTTTTTTTCGCTAAACAAACCAGCCTTCGTGATTTTCTCTGGTATCGCGGCAAAAGGAGAAGCGTGTACGGTCCTTGTTGATCCTTTCGCCGAGCGATGCCACTTCTCCGAGAACGTTCTGCACCGTAGCGGTGACCTCTTGGACGGCTTGGAGACGCTCTTTCAGGCTTTTCTTCTCTTCCTTGTGGAGGCAGGAGAGAACGCCATTTCAACATTTCCGCACGACCCTACACAATTTTACTTCCACCAGTACAATCGACACCGGAAAGGTGCAACACCTATAACCGATACATTCGTATACAAAAAATTTGGCATCGAAGGTAAACTCAACTGTCTGGGATCCTTGTCGTCCTGTTCATCTTTCTCGTCGTCTTCATTGAGCTGCAGGAGAAAGAGAAATAGATGAGCCTTCTGCTTGAGCTTTGAGCAACGTGGCCCACCTCTTCCTTCTCCCTGCCGCCCCCCTGAATCCCGACTACCGTGAGCACCAGCAGATTCTTGAGGAAGACCAGCAGAAGCACCAGGAGCAGCATGTACAGCTCAGCAGTGTACGTGATCACGAGGAAGGCCTGGAAAACGTGACGCCACTCCTCTGCTACTTCCCTGCTTGGAAAACATCAACTGTACCAGACCATCTCGCGAGCTCTGTGATTGCAAAATAGCCAGTGTTCTCTAGTTTGGATTAAAAAAAAAAAAAACATTATCTGAAAATCGTGATGGTTACATAGCCTGAACCTGACTGAGCTCAATCTTATCTATTTAATGGGAAATGCTTCTATTTAAAAAAAGTAACATGTTTCAGCATCCGAAGGAATCCGTTTGTTTGCTGGCCGCTATGTCTTCACTCCACTGAACCACTCGAGGAAAATCTCATAAAAGACTACATTGATTCCCAGATAAGGTTTGATAGAGTTGATAGGGCGTGTTGAGACACCATTGAACGCTAGGAGTTGAACCCAGAGCACAACTTAGAAAAAAAGGGCCAATGTTTTTGAGTCTCTGATCGTTCCTGTCGACTGACTTTTATATTGAATATGCAAATTCTCGATGAAGAAAGTAGCTCACGGCAAAGGCGAGGAGGGATCTTGGCACAGACTCCCAGAGGAAGCAGCTATTGAGAAACTTGCCCATGTCAATGACAAACATCACAATGTTCTTGATACGCGCCAGGTTGCGCATGAACACCTGTTGAGGCAAAAAAACAACAACGATAAAATGCGGAAACAATGACAAGGTTCCCCTTTATCTGGGAACCTGCACTGTCTCTACTAAACAATGCTTCGAGACTACACGCACTTCGAAACAACATTGAAAAGTGCGTTAAAGCTCCTTGTACTATGATATTGTAGTGAGTGCGCAGGCGAGCTGGTGGAAATTAACCATTCTGATGTTAGCCTGAGACTGAGGCAGGAAAAGAGGAAGTTTCAAAGTAGAAGAAAAAGGAACAGTCGAGGATACGTCTCTATTATGACTTCTCTGCAGCATGGTAGTACAGTAGTGGACATGTACTCTGAAAAAAAAAAACATATTTGAATATAATGGTTTAATGATGTATGTATTGTAGTCTCCTCTGAGAGTCCAAACACAAGCTTTGGAGGACTTTACGACCATATATGATACGCGAACATAAATGAAAGTCGTTTCTTAGAGAATTTGTGAAGTTACTCATAGGTTTAGGAACCATGTTCAGGCCTAAGGTTTCAGATGGAAGGTTGTGTGAACTTTGTAGCCTTATAAAGGAAAAGAGTCGATCTACTCACATTGCGTTTGAACTTCTGGTCGAGTTGCATGAACTTGGTTTCTTTAGGATTGAATGTCTTCACGAAGGCTTTGATCTGCAGATGTATCAGTGTTTTGGGGGCTGCAGTCACAACATTGCACAGGAAGGTTTGATGGCGAAAGGTTGCGACAAGCCAGAAACTTACCGGATTGTAGACAACGTTCATCTCCAGAAGGATCTGACCCTTGACTCTAGTCTTGAGTTTCCGGTCCTTCGAACCGTACCATTTCTTTTCTTCGCTTTTTATCTGAGGGAAATAAAGCATGTTAAATCCTATTAGGGGGCCCTACCCCGAGAGATCACCCATCCCGTTTTTGTGGCTAAATATCTAGAACATTAAAAATACTAAACATCGCTCACCCCCTATTCCCGTCGGACACCATAAGATGTCCGACGGAAAACAGACCACCTGCGTGATATGCAGTACCGGTACGTGTGACATGGGAGCTAATAGTGGGTTTCCGCGTTTTTGTCCGCAATTGGCGAACACGACATTGGTTCCCGTGACACGCGAGTTGACACCGCGTGTTTCTTGCATCGTGAAACGCGTGTCTGCTGCGTCCTGATTTACGATATCGGTTCCCATGACATGCGAGTTTGTGCAGTTCCCGCGTGTCCTTCGCACTGAATCTGCAGCGTCCGCAATCCGCCGTATTTTTTACCGTGACACAGGAGTTTGTCGCAAATCCCCACCTGTTTAGAGCGGGGGTATCAGCTCCTGCTTTACGTGGTTTGAGCGGTCGCCCCACATCCCGGTGTTCTATCACTATTTTTTTTATATAAAGTTTTACTGTTGTATCTCTAAAGATAGCCAACCCAATGTTTATCACGATTTATCTCTTCATTCTGGGTGGGCCTGCTTACGGGAATTTACGGTAGTGTATCTTTATTCACAGATGTGATTAAGCTTAATTTCCAGTTTGCATTGAAACACATTCGTTTATGCATAAGACCTTCACAGGAGTACTGACACCTTTCAAAAAAAGAGCTTTTACGGCATCAGAAGTGAACAAGAGAGTGCCAGAAAGTACAGTCAAAGTAATGACGTGAAAATAGAAGATTTCCATCATGATACTGCTCAATTGTAAGAGCCTTTGACAGAGTTCTGACGAACGTTCCAGTGTGTGCTTGGGAGTGCGAGAAGTTCTTTGACTGCCTATATATTCATGCTCAAGACATCTACATCCTTATGTCTGTTGCTGAAGTGCTCTCAAACAGAAATCATTCATATGTATGCCACAGCGGTAGCCTTTAATTTGTCTTCAGTGTTTTTAAATCTTTCCAAAATGTATTTACCTTGATGAGAGGCACGGCAAGCTTTCCGAGGAACTCGCACTTCTTGTCCCGGTCTTCGTCGTACACCGTTAGTTCCAATACCGAATTCATGTCCTTCACTTTGCTGAGGAAGAAATAAGAGAGGCAATGCCCTTCTCGAGAAAACATATTACCAATTTAATTATTATTATGTCTCCTTTGTCTGATGCAAATAACACTTTCATTATTTTTTTACTATTGCATTTAACATCTACTCCAAGGTTTTTCACGCTTAAACGGTCAATGAAGGCAATTTCGGATTTTTGTTTCCGGCGATTGAACTGGGTTCCAGGCACGTCTCAGGCCACGTTGCCCAAATTTCAGCCGAAACCGGCGCTTGCGTGCCGCGCAAATCAATTAAACAGTCGTGGTAATAATTCGTACCGGGATCGACTGGGGCGACGCCCCGAGAGTTGCGGGAGAAGCCAGGAGAAGCGGAGCTCACGTGACCGATGCGGGGCCAAGAAGCGCGACGTCACAAGAGACGCGTCAGCGATTGGTCGGAACGAGAGCCGTGCCATCGGTTACGTTTTGGTTCGTGATTTTTATGAAAGCTGTTCCAATTTCCGCTTCAATAACCATAAAAAGTATTAATCGGACCGGAAATAAATCAGAAGAATTGTATTTCTCTTTGCTACGCTGGACGCGAAACAGGCAACGAGCAACTATGGGCAAACAAAATAAAATTTTAAAACAAGAACACGGCGCGGAACACACGGGAGACGTTTGGTTTTGGTTCCAGATGTCGGTGTCGTGTTTATTATGGGGAACACGGCACTCGAAGGAGCCTGCAAAGCGGTAGCCATGCCACATTTGTGCGTTGTACAAGGCTGTTCAGAAGGTCGACTGAAGACCTGTGATCGTTCGGGCGACGCTAGTTTTCACGTACTCGCAAGCGATGTAGCATTGCGAAGTCTCTCACCACTGCACTATGCTTGAACAAGGAACTAAGTGAAGTCGTCAAGATTGCTCCTAAGCCATCCTTCGCCCGTTTCTAAGCTAAAGTAATTTTAGTCTAACGATATGTATCGACTGCGGCCTCAAAGTCCAATGCCGACATTGGAATAGCAGGTAAACAACGAATTCGTCGTAAAATGAAATCTATCGATATACCCCGCTGTTCAATCGAGGCTATTTATAAATGTTCTTGCTGTATGCAAATTTCTTCAATCAGGAATGATTAAAGGGGCACACCCTCCTAGGGGTGTGTCCCCTTAAGTCAAGAAGGAAAAGTCTAAGTAATCCGGATTGAATCACTGAAAATAGAAATGAAACCTAAACACATGACTAACACACGTGAAACCGTTCACGCAACGAAATGCTCGTAATTTTACGAAAGAGTCCGTATGTGCACAAAATAAACCGTACTTCCTAAACGTCAGATACTAAATCGTGCATATGTATATCATTAGATATCTTTTTGACATAAGAAAATATGACAATTACATATCAAGTTCGGTATTTCAAACTCAAAGCCGAAAGCAAAAGGCCCCAGAGGAATTCTCTAACAATCTGCATTCCCCCGTATTGGGGAGGAAGGCTGGGTGTCCGCACTCGTGGATACGGAATTCTAAGTAACTTTTTTTTTTAAGTACACGACTCTAAATTTTATTCATATTTATGATTGGATATTGAGGTACAAGAGAAACTATAAGAGAAAACCTTACATAGGCCAGAAATCTGCCCAGCAGAGCGCCTGTGCGAAATCCCATTCAAAAAGCTCATGGCATGACATTCGAGTCTTAATAGTGGCCATACAAACAATACATTACAATTTCTGTTGGTAGTAGGCTACTATATTACCTCACTCTGAATAAAAAATTAAAGAAATAAACGGTGGGCTTTTTTTTAGAAAATCGACTCCAAACTTGCTAGTTTTCGAAATATCCGTTTTTCAGGCACATGTAGCGCATTATATATTTATTGCACAATTTTAAAATTATAGTCAAAAGAAAGAAATTAATTGAAGCTTAACAGTGATGGAAATATCATAAAAATATGTTGATTAGGTCAGACAACGCAACTTGCTGAACTTCGTCAAATATCGTCGCAGAGAGGCGGTTTGACAAATAAAAAAAATACATTAAGAATGTATGACCTAGACGCTTAATTAGCATAAAAAATCATTTGTCGAGAGTGTTCCCAAAAAGTTATATTGATGTAGCGTAAAAAGTAAGGAAAAGGGATGGAGTGAAATATGGCACCCCCGACAAGCTGGAAAAACATCAGTTTCCACCTTGGCAGCTTCAACGGTCCATAACTTGAGAACAAAAGATCCGAAGAACGTGACGTTTGCGTCTTTTATTAAAGGAATTGCCCGATAACACGTATCGTTTTCAAAAAAAATTATAAATTCGACTTGAAATTTGTGCCTGAGTAATATATATATATATATACATATATATTTATTTATTTATATATATATATATATATAAGGACAGGATGAAGAGCGGTCCCCGCTCGGAACGTCGTCCAATAAATACGTTTTAAAGCATTTACCTCCTTTTTACTGTAAATATATATATATATATATACATATATATATATACATAAGTAAAGTGGGCATTGGTGGCGAAGTGGGCTAGCGCAAACCAGCTCGGGGCACGTGGAGAGTAGGTTTGCGCTGCAGAACCCAGAGATCCTGGGATCAATCTCCACCCCTGCCCATTTCGATCTGAATGAGCATCGTACTGGCGTGCGGTCGTGCATCACTACTGCGTGATGTACGTTAAAGACCCCAGGCTAGCGGTTGTAGTGCACCGGCTAAATTTCTCATCTCCAGCTGAGACACCAGGCACCCATTGAGGCCGACTAACTTGCGACTGTATAAACACTAACACATTCCATATGTTGCATATGGAATGTGATCGGAAATGTGCAGATGAATGAACCGTACATGATCGAATAAATCAAAGTATAGAAAGCCGCTGAAAGACAAATCCCGGATCCGGCAAAAGTTTTGTCTTTACGGGACTTGGTAAACTACGATCAATTCGATCAAGTACTGTTCATTCACCTGCATACTTTCGATTATTTCCTCTTTCGAGACCACGTAGGATGATGAAAGTGCTCGTGATATGAAACTTATGTTATACTGTAAGAGGATCTGCCTCTGAAGTTCATTGCAACATTTAACCAAATACCTCGTAAAGTATTTGCTGCCCTCCTTTTCCAATTGCCTTCTCTTACCTCTCTCCCTCCAATTTTACCTCCTCTTCTCCCTCTCCCATCTCGCGCGGAGACGCTGCTTCCCAGCAGTTTCACAAACGTGCAGGTGCTCGGGCATCGTCAGTTACTTTATTTTTCTTCACATGAAAACAAGCAAATACGTCCTTATTGCTGTTAATTCACATAGGACATTTTTGTCCAGAAACTATTTATTTTTTCAATAAATACGGCAAGGTAGCTCCAAATGCCATATACAAAAATGCAAGAGAAACAAAATATCACTGCAGGTCACCTTCTTCCAGATAATCATTCTACAAATAAGCATGACGCAAGCGTGACTGAATTAAACACAATTTTATCTTATCGACAGAATCAAGGGAAAATGTGCAAGTACACACAATATCAACAAAAAGCAACTAATTTTCAACTGTTATACAATGACAAATTACGAACTCGGCCGGAGACGAACAAATGCCACCAAACTCTTACTTGAAAGGCAACATTAAGAGATGAACAAGTGACTTACGGAGTTAACGAAACGGAGCTAAAAGACGAGCATGTAAGCGCCCGTGTTATATAAACGAAAAAAGAAAAAGACGGACACTGCAATTTCACACGAACCTCAGCACTCGATGAAAAAAGTGTTTCGTCTCTTTTCGTTTCGTTTCGCCTTTAAGCTTTATTCTGCAGGTGAGATCTTTGTAGTCATGCAGAAGTGCAACATAATTTAAGCAGGCCTGGTTGACCTCACATACGTTTTTATGCGACGGAGACAGGAAAACGATCTTTATGAAGTGCACGAGGTGATACGTATGGTAAATGCAACTTTCACCAGCTTAGTCATTTCTGGCAAGAGGGCCCTTAACTCTTCGCCGTTAGCGCCCGAGAATACCTTTGCAGCATCCTGAAATCTGCTGAATGGCATATTTTGTTGATTCACAATATGAAGGGTCATGTAACGGTGCAGCTGAAGATCTGTTCTGTAGAACTCACAGAGGTACCTGCCGTCTTCTTTAGCTGTTATAAAACGCTCAATGTGAGCCATGTGATACCACGTCGAAAGCGCATACACTTTGTCTAGCGAGGAGTGTACCGAGTCAACTGCCTCATAGAACCGCTGTCCATGCATGTCCTCAAAGAACGGGTCTACATGACCTGCGGATTCATTGTCATATCGGCGAGGAGCCTTCCTTTCTTCTTGCGTTGGAGGAGACGGTTCATCAACGTCGAGCTCAGCTGCCCCTGCACCCCTTCCTTAGCTCGTTTAATCTCCCTAATTTCTGTTAGCATTCTTTCTTTGTTCGGTCAAATGTCAGCGTTGGCCTCTGCAATGCGGTATTTACAGTTTACAACCGCGAAAATATCAGTAAGTGCGGTTTCAGCTTGAAATACGTCCTGAATTTCAACAACACTTTCAGGAATCCGCTTGTTTTTGCCCCAGCGTCATTTCGCTTGTCAGATGTTATGTGGTGGAAAAATTTTATCAGCTTTTTATAATTGAGAAGGACTGACCGGAGAAGCCGCCCTGAGGGTCCACCTTGTGGGACAAAATTTTCTCAAATTTATGTTTTCATATTTTTGTTGCAGCGCTTGAAACAAACCGACACGCTTTGGGGAGGACGTTACAATGCTTAGGAGATCAGTTATCATGCTTAAGAAGTCACGATACATGTTCACATTGTGATTCAAATCCTGTAACACAAGATTAAAGGGACACTGACAGGGCATTTATGCTGGCCAAGGTTTTTATTTGTACATGACATATGAGAGCCAAACTACCCGGAACACAATTTGCAGCTCGAAATTCGGTTTCTTTCTGCCCACAAATTGCCGATCGAGAACTGGCCGGTTCGAGTTGAGCTCACTCTCTTCTCCGTGGATACAAACCACTTTCTATGGTTTAGACACAACCACCAAATATAATCAAAGTCGTGGGTCATCGAACGCACACATTCAATGTT